GAGAAGATCTCACCTGAGCCAGCCTCTTCTTTGGTGCCTGAGCAGGTTGAGGAACCCTCACCTCACCCAGATCCTGTCCCCAGTGCCCAGGTTGAGGCAAACTCACCGGCCACCACCGAAGCTCCATCCCCAGCGCAGTCCCATTCAGGCCCAGATCCGGGAATCAAGGGCGAGGACATCAGAGGGGAACCAGATCCGGAGGTTCCCTTGGAGCTTCTTTTCAAGCAGCCCCTGAAGATCCCGAGATCCCTCCGAGGCGTGTCCCTAAACAAAAAAGGCACGTCTGGCACGCCTTGGACTACTTACACTCCGGCGGAGCTGGAGGACGAGCTTGGAGGGGTATGGGCCGTATTGGGGGTAGGTGGCAGTCGTGTCACCTTGGAGCCCCCGGCTCAATGGGGACTTGGAGCCGAAGTTCAGGTCCTCAAGCTGGGGCTCGCCGAGGCCATGGACCAGGAGCAGATTTTTCTGGAGGGATTATCCAGAGATTTCACCTTTATTCCTCGACCGGGGTCCTCTGGTGAAGTCCTGCTCACCTTGTCAGAGAATGGCCATGGCCGGGGTTTTTCCCTTCGTGCCCGCGCGGTTTTCTACAGGCGGGTCATCCCTGTGGCTTCTCCGCAGGGAAGGCTTAGGACACTTGATGTCCCGGACCTCCTGGCCTTGTTAAGTGTGGTCGCGTTTTTGTGTGCCTGCCATATCCGCTTGTCGGATCTTGGGGAGCACAACGTAGGTTGGGCCCTCCCGACCTTGGCGCGCACACGCGCCGAGAACATGGCGCTCCAAAGTGCAAAGCTGCGCTCGGCCGACTACGTGCAGGTTTGTTTGTACGACGGGGGCCGCTGGAGAGAAGCGCAGCACAAGCACTGGCCTGGAAAGGCGGCAACCAAGGGGCTCCTTGGCCTATGTGCCAAACATGAAATGTTTGGGCCATGGGTGGAAGAACAAATCCATCTCTATGGCTCCCCCGAGGTTTTGGCCAAGGTCTTCCTCCACCGCCTCCAGGACTTCCCGCACCACTTCGAGGGTTTAAAGGACTCGGGGTTCTTAACCTACCTCCCTTTGTGCTACAGGGTTGGTATGGTCATTCCCCTGAGCAACCCTTGGAGCAATCCGGATGATACAACCTGGCAGCTCGTTCCGATCCCAAGTTTGGACACCCCAACAAGTTGAGAAACCCCTTGAAGGGTCTTAAGGTGAGGTGACTCCCTTAAGCTTGCAAGCCGCTCCAGGGTGAGGAGACTCCCCTTTCCAGCTTTAATTCAACGAGCCAATTTGGTCACAAGCCTAAGTCTGCTCAAGGTGAGGTTACTCCCTTGCTCTACAAGCCAACAACGTGAGGAGACTCCGTGGACTTGGAGAAGCTACAAGGTTGAGATACCTCCCTTGCACCCTTTTGTTGCCGCCTAGCTCAAAGTGAGGAGACTCCTTGGAAGGTAGGCTGAGGGCAACCGCAGTAGGCAGGTGAGCTCGACCAGTCTGTGCCGAGGGTGCTGTTTAAGGACATCACCTGATGTCAGACTGGTCTAGAGAAACTCGCCGCTCCCAAAGTGGACTAGGCTCAGAACTCAGGGTGAGGTGACTCCCCTCAAACTTCGTCTCACCCTGACTCGAACTGGGCTCAGCCCAGCGGACCGACCGCTCGAGCGTGATTTTCAATCCTATAATGGTGCCCCTGTGTCTCGCCAAGGTCAGGAACACTTTCTGTTTTCTCCTTTGTGAGTTTTAGAGAACCTTAGGTGTAGTTGTGAACGGTAGGAGTAGGGAAAAGTTGTCTGTCTGTCGGTCGCTGCGCTCACGCTTCCTGTCTCACCTTGCGGTGAAAGTTATCAGTGTCAGAAGCGTGTCCAACCGGAGTTTTCCTCACGAGTTTTCACGAAGAATGGTGTTTCCCTGAACTTTCCTGAAGCATGATGAACATCAGAGTGTTTTCAGTTTGTTTGCTGTGAGAGCGGACTTCTAGACGAAGTCCGGGGAACACCTGGGCCGTGTAGCAGAGTTGCCAGTGCAGAGAAGCCGTTAGGAGTCCTTAGGACTTACCTCGGAAGTGAGTGTGCTGAAGTCTCTGTCCGCGCCCCGTTTCACTTTGGCTCAAGACTTGCACTGCGTGACAAGCGCGTGGTGAACAGTTGGTTGCGACGAAAGGTGTAAAAGTGCTGTTAGCTTTCACTGCTGTAGCCTTGCGTGACGTAGTCAGTCAGTCGGCTTGCACCTCCTTTACTAAACCTAGAAGTGTGCCTCAAGGCGCGTTTGGGTTTCAACGGGGAAGGATAGGGCATAAGGAATCCATGAGGCCATATGAAAACACGAGGTTCCAGACACTTCTGCCACAGGGAATCCATTAGACCACTTCGAAAAACGAGGTTCCGGACACGTTCTGCCACAGGGAATCCATTAACCATATGCAAAAACGAGGTTCCGGACACTTTCTGCCACAGGGAATCCATTAGGCCATGTGGCAAAACGAGGTTCCGGACACTCTCTGCCACAGGGAATCCATTAGGCCATATGGCAAAACGAGGTTCCAGACACTTTCTGCCAAGGGAATCCATTAGGCCATATGGAAAAACGAGGTTCCGGACACGTTCTGCCACAGGTAAATCCATTAGGCCATACGTTGTTGTAGCAGATTTGGCCGCGGCATTACAAGTCCAGACATGTCGAGCTGTCTTGTCCAGCTGGCACTCTCTCTGCTACGATGTCCATGGACGCACCCTTCGCGTTGTATCGAACCTCTGGGTCTCAGTACCCAATAAGCTGCTTTCTCACCGCATATAGTGGACGACACAACCGATGCCAACGACGGTCGGGCTTGACTTTATGGAATTTATCTTTCATGGGCACGCCTCGGAAGGGTGAATGTCCCTTACGTGCACCTTCCTTCGCAAGGCTTGCACAATGCTCCATTCAAAAGCTCTTGTGAGACTTGATTGGTCGAAGCTGGGCAGCACTCTTTCTTGCCGGCTGTTGTGGAAGGAAGTATGCAAGCTCGGGGCATCGGAGAGCTCGCGTTTTTACAGTTGTCTTGGGGATTTCAACTTAGCAGAGTCTCAAAGATGCCCTTGCAAGTTTACCTGCTCCATGGAATGCTGTTACGCAGGCAGAGCTTCGACAAGAGTGCCAGATGGACGCCAGCCAGAATCGTGGACGAGATAGATCTTCATATTTTTTAAAAGTTATCGGCTTTTCTAGCAGCTGGATCCAACTCTTTTGTTTGTTTGCCAGGCGAGACTGAGAGCGGTTCGGACGGGTGTTTGACTCCACCGAAATAGCATAGTAACGCACCGTAAACAAAGACAACTGCCCACACCCACACCTACGTCATCCTACGTCCGCCCACCCACGTGCACATAAGTGTGTGTGTTCTTGCTTACCAAAACAAGTGCAGAATAGCGTAAATATTTCAGTAGATGTAGATATAGTCATATATGTAGTTACGAACATATAGATGAATACTGTAGGGGCATCGAAGAGCAGATAAGTAGATAAACAGGAAAACGGATACATGCACACCCACACACATATACCTACATACAATCCATTCATCCATCCCTCCCTCCGTCCGTCCGTCCGTCCGTCCATGCATGCAGGCATGCATGCATATTACATATACATATGCATATACATGTACATATGCATATACATGTACATATACAGGTGCATGTACATATGCACACACACATACACACACACATATGTATATATATGTATGTATATATGTATATATATATATATGTATGTATATATATATATATGTATATATATATGTATAGATATGTATATCTCAAACATATACATTTAGATATACATATAGACATACATATACCTCTGCTTATACTTATACATACACACTGTGAAGCCGGCTCTACCGGACTTGCAAACAACCCTTGCAATCACGGACAGCCCACTGTTTTATGGCTCCGCGAGTTCAGCTTCCCAGTCCTTGGGCACGACCGCGTCGACGAACCGACCGCGAGTCGCAACTCTTACGAGCGACGGCTACTCGCCATCTACCCTGCGCACTTTTCACGCCTAGTAGTAGAAAAGGCACTTGAGCCAAAACGTTTCGTTTTGGACAAACATACAAATCAGCAACAACATGCAAAAGCTACGAAGCACAGGCAGACTTGCACATGCCCCCATGACATGTATGATCGCTCACAACACACACACACACATATATATATATATATATATATAAACATACACATACACATACACATACATATACCTACGTATACCTATACCTATACCTATACCTATACCTATACCTATACCTATACCTATACCTATACCTATGCCTATACCTATACCTATACCTAATACCTAATACCTATACCTATACCTATACCTATACCTATACCTATACCTATACCTATACCTATACCTATACCTAATACCTATACCTATACCTATACCTATACCTATACATATATACCTATAAGAGGTTTCGGGACGGCCTTTTTCGAGCCAGTTCGGGGTAGACGTGGAGTGTACACGCAGGAAACTTGCGCTTTTTGTTTGACAGGTGCCGGCAAACATCACAAAGCAACTCCTCGGGCCAACCACATGCACCGGGGCATCAAGGACGACACAAACCATCCGCCGTGTCATGGTTTACCTTGTCAAGATGAATCTTGTGACGATGGCCGATTCAACATCTGGGCCTTCGGGAGAGACCATTCACTTAGTCTACGAGGTGGCTTGGTAGGTAGAAAGAGTAGCACCACACATGAGGTAGCAGGGTAGACAGATTGGGAGAGCTTTGAGCTGCGAGTAGCCACGCTTTGCTGAATTTCAGGTGAATCGGTACGCACACGTGGACAGTTTCACGGCAGACCTTGAAGCAGACCCACCCCGGCGACTTGCCAGCTTCGACCTTGCAGAGCCTGGTTCTGTCGATGCATATTGGGAGAAGACAAAGCAGCTTGTGAAGGATTGATCTGACAAGGTCCTGGGCGGGGCGAGAGGTGCGAGAGACGACGGAAGCTCCAGCCAAGATGAAAAGAGGCCCCGGCAGACTGCCCCCAACATTCCCACCCCTGCGAATGCTCCGCTTCCTGAGCTCTTCCGCCGCAAGAACTGGAAGAGCTATCCATGGCTCAGTCCGCATCAGCGGGCCGCCCTCAACAAATTCTACAGCGACCTTCAGCTCGGCGGCGCCCAGGAGACAGCGTGCTTCGGAGTCGCTCCTTTCCGAGGCACAAGATGTAAGGATTGTTGCGCCAAGATCTGCCGAAGTATCTGCCCTCAGCCGCCGAATCATGGTGCCACCTGAGCGGGTCGTGAAGTATTGCCGGCAGCTGGCTGAGGTCGCTGGGCCTAACCCCTCCGGAGCCAGGGTGGAGTTCTCCCCGCTGTACGCCGTGCGGTACAAATGTCACAAATGTGGCCACCTCTGCTTTCTGAAGACGGCCATCGCAGACCATTACCTGAAGGTCCATTCTCTGCCCTTGCCTACAGATGAGAGCCTTTTCTGCGAGCCGGACTTCTATGCGCGGCGGCTGGAGCAGGCAAAGCCACCTAGGGTCCCCGGCATCAAGCGGCTGCGGAAAGTGCTGCCAAGCAAGTCCAACAAGCTCCACTTGGACATGGGGGAACTCCGAGAGGAGCTGGCTGAGGAAGACGAGATAGAAGATGTACAGTGGCTGCAGCTTTTGGCCACTGCTGAATCCTTGGTTGGCTTGGAGCAACACGCCAAGGGCTTGCCGACGCAGCGGCCGGTTGGCCCTTCGCATACCAGCCCGTCGGTCACATGGCCAATGCTCGCCCGCCTTGCTGGCCTTCCGGAAGCATACTGCCAGAAACGCATCAGGGAGCTCCTGCAGTGCGACCCCAAGAACCAACGCTTGGTCAGTACCTTGCGATCCGAGGAAGTCCAGAGTGAGCGCTCCGCACATACACAAAGTGCTGCAGGGAGGTACGTCTCAAAGTGTCTGCTGCTCTCGCCCTACGAGACATTCATGTCCTGGTGGAAAGTGGAGTTCTTACCTGCCGATGTCCGCAGACTTGTCGATTCTGTTCTGAGGCAGTGGCAGGTCGCGTCTTTGGTCAGCAAGTACAAGCCACGCAGCAAAGGAAGGAGGCTTCCAGACACCGTGCAGCCGAGTTTTACGTTGACCTATGCCTGCAAAGTCAGGATGTTTGGCAGAGGTGGGGATTTCACTCGCTTGCAAGAAGCGCTTGGGACGCTTTCGTCGACCAGTCCTGAGGCTTTACAGGGCTACCGGAGCTTCGCGCCAGAGTCATCTGAGGGGACCCACCTCCTGGTGCTTTCAGATGCTGTGGCGTCAAACCGGGCGACCCTGAAACCGGTGTGGGCTGACTCAGATTTCTACAGTCAGGCAATCGGCAGGAGGCCTCCCTGGCAGAGCTCTCACGAGGAGGAGGACGAAGAGGAGGAGCCCGAAGATGAGAGAAGCGGCTCGCGGCCTCCAACGGGCATCCAGTCCCATCTGCAACTGACGAGTGACGAGCCGACGCTTCAGTCGATTCGAGTGGCTTTGCCGGCACCCCGGAAGCCAGAAAGCTGCCTGAAGTGGCTCCTGGTCCCCGACGACGAGCTTCCGAACATGCTACCGGCCCCCGTGGAGCCGGTGGATCCAATGCGTTGCTTCTGCGAAACCAAGGACGCCGAGGCCGAGAACCGGCAGGAGGATTCCGAGGAGGAGGAAGCCCAGGACGATGACATCGGAGGAGATGCGCTGCCCAGCCAGAACCAAGCTGCAACTGATAAAGGGGCTGGCAAGCTCAACATCCGCCGAGCACTGCGCTGGAACAGGACGAAGACCACGAGGTCCTGGAGACTTCATTCAAAGAGTTTGCTGCAATGTTCCTGGAGATGCCTTCCAGCGAGGGAGCAGGCTGGTGTTCGCGAGAACAAGAACTCCTCGATGCAGCAGCTTTCGTCTTCAAGACCGTTCATTCGATATCTTCCAGAGCACCGGAGGTCAAAGAGGAGGAAGGTGACCTGACGGGACTTTTTGTTCTGCCAGGCGCCAGCACCTCTCAGCTCAAGGCTGCGTATCAGGGCTTCCAAAGCCACCAGCGGGGCCCGAAGCGACTCAGGCGCTTGCAGCCTTCGCAGCCTAGGCCTCTCAGCCTGTCTTTGGTCCTGGCCTGTTTGGAGGAATTGAGGCTCTTGGTTCCCTTTCCATGCGGCCAGGAGTTTCGAGAGGTCCTTGCTCACGCTGCCGCCCCATTCTGCGTTTCACAGCCGAGCTCGTCTGAGCCGAGCTCTGAGGCCTCGGCCGCCTCGGCAGCAGAACTCTTCAGCAAGTTCGATTTGGGAAGGCACTGGCTTTGGCCCTACTTGGAGCATTGCTCGCTTCGCTGTCTCCGCCAAGCTGCGGCGTGCGTACTGCGAGCCGCTGGTCTCGACAAATCAGCCGGAACACTGCAGGGAAGCTTTCTTCCTTGTCAACTAATGGCTCCATGTGCTTGGGTACATGCTCGGGGCACGTTGAACGTACCGGTTCTGCGCTGTTTGCTGCTCCGGCTTCTCCATCGACTGATGAAGACACCCTTTGCATCTGTTGCTGAGCTGCTTGGCTTTGCTTCAACATCCCCACAGCTTAGAAGATGCAAGATAACGAATTCAATCCGATAGGTGGGTTCCCGTCATGCATCTGCTTTGCTTTAGCCGCCGGCTTAACCGGATCCCAACCCAGCCCAAGAATTCTAGAAGCATAGAAGCCTCAAGCAATCTCAAACCCTCTACGAACTCACCGAAGTCGTCACATTGCCCATGCGGGTCCCGGGCCTCGAAAGGTTGGCGAAGGACTGCGGGGCGCAGGACCGGGGCCTCATCGACGTCTGCGAGCTCTCCTTCCTCCTAGAGTTGGCGGTAAGGGCCAAAGTCGTGGCAACTCGACGGCATCGCGAGATGCTATACATACATACATACATGCATGCATACATACACGCACACACATACATTACATTGCATTACACGACAATACATTTGGATGTCATATTATATGATAGGACCGGATATTTTACATTTTGTCTTGTTATATTAAACTATATATTAATTATATGTTATTATATTCTATTACCAAATTGTATTACGGTATATGACAGTATATTATATCATTTTTTTGATATGTTATGTTATATGATAGTATATTCCATTCTGTTATTATTATGTTGTTATGTTGTGTTATGTTATGTTATGTTGTGTTATGCCATTTTATATCATATTATATTATCTTATCTTATCTTATCTTATCTTATCTTATCTTATCTTATCTTATATTATATTATAGTATAGTATAGTATAGTATAGTATACTATACTATACTATACTATACTATACTATATTCTATTCTATTCTATTCTATTCTGTTCTATTCTATTCTATTCTATTAATATTATATTATATTATATTATATTATATTATATTTTATTATTCTATTTTATTTTATTTTGTATTTTATTTTACTATATGATAATGTGGTAGATATAAAGGCATACATGTGTGGCGGTGCATGTCCCAGGAGAAGCGCGGAGACGGCAGCGGTGGCTCTTCCATCGAGGCCAGCCGATAGACTCTAGCACCAGCTTCAACTTTGTAGCAGCTTTGAGCATCTGCCGTAACAGTGAAAACCAAATCGGGGTGGCTTAGACCATGCCGAAATGTCCTCAGTTGCGTGGGATTGCCAGGAGCCTGACCGCTACCGCTGTGTCCTCCTCCGCTGTGGTGCAGCCTAAGGCCCTCAGGATAACAGGTAGAAGGCAGAGGTCCAGGGGGCCAGGGCTGCGAGAGTGTGCACCCTCGGGGCGCGACTGCGGCGAGCCGGTGAAAGAAAGCATGCGTGTGGTTGTTTTCATGTCGGGCCGTGCTCCTTGAAACTGGACGTGAACTTGGGGATCTCCAGTCTGTAGCTCGACTTTAAGGTGATTTTTCCGCTTTGCATGACATGCCGATGTTGATTACCACAGGACCCATCATGACGAAGCACATCTGTTGCAGTGAGAGTCGGCAATGCCCTGGACCCCTTCAAGGGCCCTTCCGCAGTGAGACAGTTTTACCTGTTTGCAGCCATCCTTAGGACCTCCTTTTGATGCATGTGAAGCTATCATGGTCCATGGTTGAGAAGTTCAGAACACCCTCAATCTCGAGCTTCTGTTGTTTGCTTAGATTTAGACTGCACCAGTCTGAAACTTTGAAATCAGTGAGCTACAAAGGCATCAGAGCAATGCGTTCTCGAGCTGAAAGCCGGCATCAAGATCGAATCCGAGCCAGATCAGTTCAACCCATGCAAGCGCAGCTCGTGCTTCATGGTTCGTTCTTTGATTCTTTGAGGCGTCCACGCTGTACGCCACCATGCAAGTTTTGGCTCTTCCGAGAAATGTGTGGTGGGGGGTGGGGTGGTAACTGCAACGCGATGAGATGACCAGGTCAGCACATGAAATCAAGTCACCAGTCTCATTTCCTTCCTTGCCGGGTTTTGTACGGGCTCGAGCTTCAGAATGTTTGTTGCAGAATATAAGGAGTTTCAGAACCTCATTTTCAAGACAATTACAACTGCCAAGGTTTCGAATACAGCCGTCAGCTTTCAGAATGCGACTTTGGCCATTGGCTCAAAGCCATGTGACCAGTCTTCACGACACATTTTTCATCCACTGTCGTGAGCATGAAACATGGCCCGGTGTCATCATGCCAACTATGTGGTCTATCTAATTTTGATTTTAGGGTACTTCAGGTTTCCGCAGGTTTTAGATGATCATCATTTCAATGTTCACTTGGACTTCAGGATTACTGGTCGTATGCTATAAAATTAGCCGAGCTAGCGTTTTTTTTTCCGCCCCGGTCCCCATGATGCCATGAACTGCGGCAAAGCTTGTGTCTGTTGACGTTGACTTCTTGACTTCAGGCAAGCTGTCCCGGTGATTTCGATACCTAAAGAATTTCACCATGCCTCCATATCACACAGACCTCAAGACCTCAAGACCTCAAGACTTCGTGCAAGCTTCTACCACTAGCTGTAAAATGGTAACGTCCGAGCTTCGACAGAATCAAAAACCGTTGTTGGTGTCCAGGACGTGGGCGATGAAGTTGCTCGATGTCATCAGTTTTTCGTTTTCGGTGGTCTTCGGCTACCAGTGCCTTCCCAATGGTTTTCCCGAAGAGGATCGCCTTTATGTCTTGAACAGCAGCAGCCAGATGAGTCCGATCCAGGTTGCATCACTTCAATGGAGGTCGGCAATGAGCATCAGCTTGGTAGCAGAGATTTTGATCTCAGAGATGCTCGGATACCACGCTCTTGTGTCAGAGGTTCTATATGCGTCTGATGAAGCAATACTACGCTTGGTGGGGTGCTGGAGCCCGGATTGCTCCATACAGGGTCCAATGGCCGATGTTCTGCTGAGCTTTTGGCTGTATCACGACATGCCGCTGTTCCAAAGGCTTCAGAAAGAGAATCCTAGACCTCCCGAAGATTTAGGCTCTATGGGCTACGTGGCGAGCGATGGCATGTATATCAAGGGATCTGTGCTGAACCGCGCCGCCAGTGATGGTTTGTCGCTGGAATTCTTCAAGAGTTACAATCTCTCCTTCCATCAGCCTTATCGATATTTTGACACTGTGTGGGCTTTGCCCGAGGCAGAAATCTTAAAGTGTGACGAAACCTTTAACGGAGCCGAACTCGACACCGTGAAGTCTGACTTGATGAAGAACTATCTGGACAAGACTGGAGATGCAGAAGGGGTCATAGAAAAGAACGGCCGGTACCTTGCAAATTGCTCGCTGCCAGCCTTTTGGATTGCACCTGCGTGCCGGCACAACTATACCCTGTGCATCCCTCTCTTGCAGCTCGGGCCGGGGATGATGCCAGTTTACATGCAGTGGTCCGTGGCTTATGGTCTTCCTCTTGCTCTGACACATGCCCGGGACTTCACCCCAATGACCCAGCTGATCCGAAGCCTGAGCGTGCTCTACTATTGGTGGGAGCCGGACGAGACCTTGGTGGACCTGCAGCAGGCAAAGGTCATACTGCCGCCGCACAGCCCAAAGGCCTGGTCCCAGGGAGATTTCAGGACGGCCTCCACGGACGTCTATGTTGCCAAGCTTGGGAGCCAGAACTTACGCACCGCGGCGCCCAGGGTGAGGATGTTCTTGCAAAACTTGGCTCTTGAGGCATCTGAGGCATTGGAGTTGACACAAAGCATCGGCTTCGAGAGTGATGTTGATGATAGGCTTGCTTCTCTGCGTCAGGGAGCTTGTGAATGGATCCGATCTCACAGTCACATTTGGGAGCAGTGGATGCCAGTTGCCACAGATTGTACTCCAGGATTTGGCTTGGTTGACGCTCAGGGCTTGCCGGTGACATCCTTGGATGAAGCAGTCGAATGTAGGGCCTGTCCTGCAGGACGATTCTCTGAGCGGTTCACCCATGATTCTGGGCTAACCTTCCGTTGCCAGCTCTGTGACCCCGGCTATCGTCAAAGCCGCTTTGGACAGAGTAGTTGTATTGCATGTGATCCCGGCACATATGCAGAGGTAGCTGGGCAAGCAACTTGTTCCCCCTGTGCGCGAGGGAGGTTTGCGAACTCCAATGCAGCGACGGCATGTCTGCCTTGTGGACCTGAGGAAGTCTGGACGACAAGTAAGGCTGTAGATTATGGGGGGCATGAGAGATGGATCGAAGTAGAAGGAGCAACATCTGCAAGCTCTTGTCGTTGCGTCCAAGGACGGTATTTGTCGCCGATGGGCCAATGTGAAATTTGCATTGAGGGCTCTTCCTGCCCAGGCTCTGGAGTCTTGACACTTCTGCCTGGCTTCTACTCCACTCAGGGTGCCCTGGCAGAGAATTCACAAGCCTCTAAAAATGAATCCATAAGCTAGTGTGTTTACACAGCTATACCGCATGCAGTGCATGCTTAATGTTGATGCCGCTCCGCGTCCAGATCGGCCTGCACCACCTTCATGCTGGTTGTTCGGTACAAAATTAGTTTACCCACCCTACAGGTTTGGAATTTTTTGGGGTTGGGCAATTGAGGGACAGCCTGGGGTTGGGCACTCCAGGGACACTCTGGGGTTGGGCACTCCAGGGACACTTTAAGGTTGCCAGGGACACTCTGGGGTTGGGCAATTGAGGGACAGCCTGGGGTTGGGCACTCCAGGGACACTCTGCGGTTGGGCACTCCAGGGACACTCGCAGGGACACTCTGGGGTTGGGCACTGCAGGGACACTCTGGGGTTGGGCGCTCCAGGGACAGCCTGGGGTTCGGCACTCCAGGGATGAGTGAGGAGTAGACCGGGCGAGAAGAAGACTTCCGGGCGAGGCGACGAGTTTAGTTCAAAATCTAACAGCCCCACACCGAGGGTGGGGAACCATGCTACAAAACAGAGCTTAAAGCCTAAAGCCTGTGTTGGCTGTGCGAACAAACTCGTATGATGTTGAAGTGCCGGTCAGCTCACCTCCAAAAACCAAGCTTTAGTGTGCAGAGATGGTTTGACAAAATGCGTTGGGACATGCTTCCGGCCACTGTCGTCCGACACTGGTCAAGCAAGAAAGAACACAAATTCTTGTGTTCTTGGGCTGTAAGCCTATTTTTTCCCCGAGGAGAAGGTATGTTGCGGCTCTATTGCCCAACCAAAAAAAGGTCAGTTCTCAGGACGAAGGCAGTCACACGCAAGATGGCCTATGGTCTATCTTGCCCCTATCTGGCCACCCTCTTGCGTTGGATTGAACGTAGCCAGGTCTTGCAATCCCCGCCCCCCGCCTGTTTCACATGCAACTTATGTGGGTTTAGGGTTTAGGGTTTTCATATTCTGGTGGTATATTAAAGCATGGGAACCAGCCTTCCTATAGTTTTTGCATGAAACCTCACACCACGCGCCCGAAAAATACTTGCAAGTACTTTCATGTGCCGATTTGGCACATGGCGTCTTTGCCAAAAGACCTTCACAAGCAGAACTTCTAGACAACAGCATGCGTAGCTCTGCAAGCTGCGAGTCGTACTTAGTATTACTCGTGGCTACTGCGGAAGAAGAGTTGAGTCAACTCTTCACTTTTCGGTTCTATATGAGTTCGGCATCTGTTTCGTAGGTTCACAATGCTTCTAGTCGTGCTTTCTATATACGAAGAAACCATGCATGGTTTTTGACATCCATCGCATGGATGAGCATGCCCCTTTCCCATCACATCATTCAAAAGCCGACAACGTTTGCATCCAGCAGTGTTCTAAACCGACAGCTTTGTTTTTGCTTGGCTAACTTGCAAACTTTTTTGGGCCTTGATGGCCCACATGTATTTGCAAGGTTTTCTTTTGACACATCTTTGTTACCACAAGCGCCTGGAAAAATGCATTTTAAGGACATACAGAGGGACATTGTTTGGCCGGCGTTTTCCCGCCTCCCCACAACCAAAAGAGTTTGCATCAACACACGTCAAAAAAACAGGACCGGTATATGCAAGCACTCTCCCGCCCAAGACCTCCAGTACTGGGAAAGCACAGTGATTTGCTCGTGTAAACAACTTTGTGAACGCTCTTTGCATCTTGCATCGTCGTGCGACAACTTCAGTTTTTGTCAGCTCTATCCGCATTAATTGTCTTGCAAAACCGTTCTATCCTGGAGACCCACTGAAACTGTGAAGGCCTATGTACAGTTGGACGGATCTTGCCGCTATCTAGTGCCCATGTCCATACCCACACCTTGCTAAAATAAATGCAGCTTTGCCCCTTCACGGAATGATGCCCTTTGCCAGACTTTCGCAATCTGGTGAGTTGTGAAGCAAGCGTTGGATTCACTTGGATGAAACGACTTGAAGGTTCATGGGTACTTATGCTTAGGGTTATAGGTAGGGCACCTATGGCAAGAACCCTACTTAGGGTGCTCATAGCCCTACTAAGAACTATTTCATGAACCTCCAACTGAAGCTGAGGTAACCCTGGCGCGGTAATGCGTTGCTTCGGCAGCGCGCTCCGGTGCCCTGGTGGCTTTCCAGAGACATGTGCCAATGGCAGGGACCAGGCAAGTCCCGCGTGCAGCTTATGTCTTCCCGGCTTACAGCCAACTGCTGAGGAGTGTTTGCCTTGTACAGGAGGGGATTTTTTCGCGCTTGCTGTTTTGGCCGGGCTCATCTTGCTGGGAACGGCGACTCTGCACCTCATGCTGGCGGCGAGTACATCAAGTGCATCAAGTGCATCCCATCGTGGTGCACTCTTGGGTGCTGCATTGTGTGTGAATCAATTGATCACATGTTCTCAAATCTTCGGTGTGCTCGAGCAAATACAGGGCATCGTTTGGGCGGAGCCTTTTCTGAGCTTCCTCCAGTTCTTCCGAGTTCTGTCGCTTGAAGCACTACTTAGCTCGGCGAAGACACTCTCCTGTGTCACACGCATCGGCCCAGAAATGGCATTTGTGATTCGGACCTTGATCGTGCCTGCATGCTTCACACTTGGGCCGTTTTTGGTGCAATTGGTCATGAGAGCCATATGGCGTCCCGCACAGACCATCGACCTCGTCAAGACTCTTGGCTTCCTCTTCTTGCTCTTCTTCATCTCTTTGTGCTCCTCATTTGTCGAGCCTTTCCGGTGCAATCTACATCCGAACGGATCGCTGACGATGCAAACTGCCCATGACGTCTTCTGTAGTCTTACGGGTACTCACTTGACCCTGTGTTGGATGAGCGCGATTGTTTGCCTCCTTCCAATTGGGTTCCTGACTACGTGCACATGGGTCTTACTGGTGGTTCTCCCAAAACGTCTGAAGGCCGCAGATGCAACTTTTGTCCGGGCCTGCTCATTCCTGATCTTGAGGTTCAAGCCAGGATCGGAGGTCTTCACATTGGTTTTCCTGCTGAGAAATGTGCTCTTGGTGCTGACACCCATGATGCAGCCGGCGATCAGCTTGTTTGTGATGGGGAACCTCTTGGCCTGGACCGCTGCATCGGTTGCATACTTCAAGCCTTGGCGCACAGACCTTTCGAATCAGATGGATGTATTTGTCAGCTCGATCTTGCTCAGTGTTCTACTTATGGGTGCACTCACTGTGAGTGATGCAGAAGCAAAGGGCCTCATGATTCTGTGTACAGTGTGTGGATTGGTCATTGTTACTGCACTTACCACAGGAACATTGTGCTTGATAGTTCAGCACATTGCCTCCAAGTGTCGCAAGAAGTTTGCTTACTTCCTCTCTCATCACAGATCAGCTTCTGCTGCCTATGCGCGGCTGCTCAGAATGGAGCTGAGAAGCCGCGGGAAGCAGTTCAATGCCTTTATTGATTCTGACAACCTTACAGATCTCTCACGGCTTTTCTCCTATGTCATTAATGACACACAGACCTTCGTCATTTTGGCAACACCCGAGATTCTGAAAAGGAAATGGTGTATGGGAGAGGCTGTGGGGGCAAAGCTTGCTGAAGTCGACACGATGTTGATAACATTCCCAGGCTTTGAACTGCCAGATGAGGTCTTTATTAGAAATTATGCCAGAATCGTTCCTGACATCAAAGAGCTTGCTGCATATGGTATTGGGCTCTCAGATGTTCGAGATACCTTGTGCTGGCTATCTACAGTGAGGAGCTGTGGAGTAGCTTCTCCTTTCTCCATGGAAAACTTTTCGGATGTCGTTCACAACCTTACTGGACTATCTGCACGTGCGCCCAAACATCAGCCAAGTGCGACGGATTATGCGATATTGGCAGATCCTGAGAACATGGAAGCCATGGCCACTGCGCAAGTCCTGGGTCGATTCTTGATCGCCATCGTCCCGGAACGAGGTTTGTCAACGCATGTGCTTTGCAGCAAAGAGAATGTTTCCAGGACCGGGAGGGGGCGGGGGGGAGGGGGGGGGGGGGGGGGGGGGGGGGGGGGTGAACCCATAAACCTCTAAAGGGGTAGCTCTAACAGGTACCTACAGCAATGGCTGCATGCTCATACATATACATTCCGCTGCCCATTGGCTCACAGTGGTTTTACCATATTGAGACAAGACAAGCTCTCCTTGCGTAGCAAGACAAAACAACTACTGTCCGTGTGCAGGGCGCTGCCCTTTGATCCTTAGGGAATAACTGGTCATACACCTCCTTACAAGGAGTATCCCTTGGGGGTGTATCGGCACAGTTTTCTGGTAGCGGAGCCCGGAAAGGGCCGCCCGCCTCACAAAGTCCGCTACAGCGGTCGGCCTCGCCGAACGCTTAACCAAGCGGATAAGAGGCAGCACAATGTCGAGCTCGCATAGCGAAGCCGACGGCAGTTCCCAATCCTCCGGGGGATATGAGAACGAAGAGACCTCCCAAGGTCCAGCTACTTATGTCGCACAGTCATATGCAACATCTGACCGCATGCTTGCATCATTAGGCATAACGCCCAAGATCGCGCCTGCCTATGATGGCACCACCTCGTGGTTTGAGTATGAACAGTTGATTGACGACTGGTGCGATATAACAACGCTGGATGATACCAAAAGAGGTCCGTCTCTCAAGACGAGGCTCTCCGGATTGGCCGCAGTACAAAAAGAATCACTCAACAGAGAAAGGCTTGCAGCCCCAGACGGAGTAGATTACTTCAAGAAGAAGATGCGTCCATTTTTCGTGAAAGGAGAACAGTACGTTTTCCTGTGGCGTTTTCTCGGCCTATTCAAGGCATGGAAGGGCAACCAAGACTTTGTGACTTGGATTGCTAAGTTTGAGATCGTGCTACAGCGCGTGAGAAACTCATGGATGGATCTCTTACCAGAGATAATTCTGGAAGATGCCCATCCGGATTTCATGCAGGCTGTGCAAGCAGATCAAACCTTCATGCGCCTACAGGATGCAACCGAGAGAGACACATACGCCGCACGTTTCTTCGAAACATGGAACAAGGAACGCCTTGATAATCATCGAAGAGCGTTTCCTCTAAATGATAATCTCCTAGCTCTCCTCTTCCTAGTGCAGTCCGACCTAAATGAGATGCAACGTGAGAGGTTGGTAACAGCATTGACCAACCAAGGTTACCGAATTGAGACCTACACGTACCCTATAGTACGGCAGACCATGTTCGATCAGTTCTCAACGACCAGAACTGGTCTGCAGGATCCCAATATTCGGCACACTTCTCACAAGAAGGACCGCCATGGAAGGAGAGATCAACGCCGCAAACGCGGAGGTCGAAACTTCCTCATCCTCGATCAGGGTGAATACGACGGAGTCGATGGATTCTGGCTCCAAGACGAAGACACCCTTGAGGAAGGCTTTCTTGCCGCCGAGGATGAAGAAGCTGTCTTTTGGACAGTTGACGACCATGAAGCCTTCGTTGCAAGGAGATTCAAAAAGGGAAGAAGACCAAGAATGCGTCCCGGATCACCGGGAAGAGCAAAGGGTGGCAAGCGAAAAGGACGTGGCCGTTTTAGGTCATACCGCGGAAAAGGGAGAGCCAACCAGGCAGAACATGATCCAACTGATTCCAGCTATTTCGGTAAAGGCAAAGGAAAGGAAAAAGGAAAAGGTGGAAAAGGCAAAGGAAAAGGAAAGGACAAAGGAGATAAAGGAAGCTCCTTCAAGGGTACAAAATCAAAAGGCAAAGGTAAGGATACAGCTAAGTCTGCCTCCTTACAAGGAGACCAAACTGGATCTCCACAGGCCTATGAAAGTTCCACCGCACCGAGCTGGGATTCATGGTATGAGGACAGTTATTATACTGACTCCAGTTGGAATTATGCCGCTTATGACGATCAAACGTCTTATACATACTATGCATCACAAGCCTCACGAAGAAAGACACGGAAAAGAAGAGAAGAAATCAAGCAGGATCATCAGGTAGAGGCACAGATCCGAGCGCGCACCAAGAACCCGTGTACAACTCATCAGTGAGTTACGTGCCCCAGGTTTTTGAACCATGCGAGGGGCAAGGTGTGGAGACTGCAACAGCAGTGTTTCCGTTGCAGCACACCGTCCTATCTGCTCTCACCGAGCGGATCAATCTTGATAAGAGCCCTACCTTTGTCATTCTTGACTCTGGTTGTACTAGGGCTATGGGTTCCCGCTATGCGGTGAACAGGCTTATCAAGGCCGTGAAGCAACATGCCCCAGGCATGATTGATTTCACTTTTTCACCTTCGAACACGAAGTTCTCTTTCGCAGATAGTGAGACAGCTCTTATCAAGGAGCGTGTAACTCTATGGTTTAACACAACTCCAAGAAGAGATACAACCATAGAAGTTTTGGATCAGGGAAGAGTCCCCATTTTGTTCTCCATCGAACAGATGAGAAATCTAAGAATGACCCTCGAGTGTAGTCCAACAGCTGACCTAGCAACGTGTGAAGCTTTCGGTTTGTATAAAACCCCTCTTCCGATTAGTACCAATAACCATTTGGTATTGGACCTTCTAGGCTTTACTTCCACCAGGAAGTACCTTCCTAAGTCAGGTACATCGTTCCGTGCGACGGAGACTGCTCTAGGAGCCAATAAGCCTTATGTTAGGATACCGGAAGGTCGCTGTCCAGCCTGTGCCGGACAGAAAAAGGCTCACACGTACCTCAAGGGTTGTGACAGAGCACCTGAGGGAGCAGCTGATCCACCACCGAAGAGGATTTCAGGGAAAAGGAAGCCTCTTCCATCTGATCCGGCAGAATCATCTGCCAAGAGACTTGATCCACCAGAATCATCTGGAGATGTTCCTGAGCCTTCCGGACCATCGGAACCATCATCAGGCTCTAGAGACAAACCTGCAGAATCCTCTGCACCGCATGAACCTCCAGAAGAAGAAAGACTTGAGGTTCCATCTGCGAAGATAAAGACTCCAAAGGGTCTTAAAAACCTTCTGAAGAAAACCCGCAAATATGCGGACAAACCTCCTGTTGAAGAGAAGTCTACAGTCCCAGGAGCTGATGACGGGACGGAGGTAAGACCACTTGAGTCAAGAGAATACCCGGCTCCTGGCACAGACTCACCAACAGGTGAAGAGATTGTCGCAGAACCTTCGCCATCTCTTCCCATTGCTCTTCGCAGGATTCATGAGAAGCTTAAGGACCCTGTAGAACTCTACAAGCTTCACCTTAAGCACCGTCATATGAGTACGGATCAGTTCAAGCGACGCACAAAAGCCTTACAGATCCCAAAGGAGATCTACGAGCTATATGACCAACTGGTCAAAAAGTGTTCAGCCTGCCAGGAACATGTGAGAGCTCCTTCGAGAGCGAAGATTTCTGGTCTAAGATCAGAGACTTTCGGTGATCTCACCTTCGTAGATCACGGTGAGCTTCCAATTCCCGGCAAGGATAGTCGCTTAGTATTTCTTATTCTCTATGATGGAGCAACAAACTTGTTGACTGCCGAAGTAGTCCAGGATAAAGAAGAACATACTACAATGTCGATTATGAATGACTACTTTGAAAATTTCAGATCAACCCAAAGGTTGTAGTTGGAGATCAAGCATTCATGACTCCAAAAATGGAGGCTTATTACAATCGGCAGAATATCAAGCCTGTGGCAACAGGACCTGGAACACCATGGCCCAACAGGGCCGAAGCTGCTGTAAGATTGCTGAAGCATCAGATTAAGCTCATACTTCAGATCCTGAAGGATGGTGACCCGCAGTATAACGGAATCACCATGAAGTATGGCAACCTCGTTCGCCAAGCATGTTTGGCAAGAAACTCTTCGATTACCTACGGAGGAGTTACTCCTTTAGAAATGGCCTTTGGAAGGCGTCCTCGAGATGTTATAACACCAGAGAACGCTGATCCCAATCAGTTGACAGGTAATCCAACTGATACGGAAGTCACTGCGAGAGCCATTAAGGAGCTTGCCAACAGGGCTTACCAAGAGGCACGCCAATCTGATGATCTGCGTAGAGATCTTGCAGCCAGACTGTCAATGACCCAAGGACCTTTCTCTTTGGGAGATAAGGTTTTCTACTGGTCAGAAGATAAGTCTAAGATTGGATCCACTGGGTCCAAACATGGATCTTGGCTAAAAGGTAAGGTGATCTCCGAACTCGGAGGATCCATGGTAGGTGTGGATCTTGGAACACGCATCGTCCGTGTCAATATCTCAAAACTGAGGAAAAACTATGACATAACATCTGATGTGGAGATTCCTCTCGCGCCTGATGAGGAAACTCTGACGTCAGAAGGTTCTGACCACGCAAGTTGCATGGTCACCTTCGATGCTTCCCTGCAGTCGACAGACCTAACGATTCCACATCAAGAGTGTCACTGGCAGGTCACCAGTACTGGGAAGATTGATTTTCTAGAACTCTACGGCGGATCTCCCCGCATGAGTCACAAGGCTGCCCTATCAGGTCTTCGAGTAGGTCAGCCAGTCGATTTGCGTAGCGGTCTAGATCTTGAGCAACCGCAAGGTCGCTCCAATCTTCTTAGGATCATCAAGGAACAAGAACCTACTATTATTGTTATGTCACCTGACCATTCTCAGTGGTCTAGCTGGTACTCACAGTGGAAGAAAGGCTCTGCCAAGAGACTTTCTGTTTTAAAATTCTGTGAATCGGTCGCAGACCACCAAATGAAGCTCGGACGTTACTTTGTTCTTGAGAACCCATACTACAGCAGGCTCTGGTCTTCACCAGAAGCAAAACGCCTGTTTTCTAATCATAAGATCAGCTATGAGGTCTGTAACCTACAGGCCTATGGCATGAAAGATCCAACAGGATACTATGAATCGAAATCTTCGATTTTTATGCACAACTTGCCACCGCAAGTTTTAATTCCTCTCCAGAGGCATTCTGCCAAAACGAAGTCTCCAACATCTCCACCAGGAGACGAAAAGGGTATTCAAGGCTACGGTCTTAAAACGAAACTCGCACAAGTGTAT